TTGATCCTAGAATTCTTAATGTCTCTAGTTCCCTCGTAAAGGACTTGAATAGCATTCTTCATTATTTGTGCACTCTTATGATGTGAGCTAGAGTAATATACTTTAGAGCTTAACACATAGATAAGTATATTCTCGCCTTCAAATCATATGATGCCTTTTTGGTTTCATCATCTTACCAATCTTTTAGGAGTTTAACATAATCATCGACTTCATTTTTGGGAATAAAAGAATCTTCGGTAATTTCTACCCATAGATGTTTATCTACTGACACTAAGTGTACATACGTGTTTTCCTTCTAATAAGCATACTTGTCGACTTTGAAAATTGGTGCTTTACTATATGCTCCCTTCAAATCGTCGTCACCCATATTCTCAAACTATTAAGTCGTTTATACCTGATCATAAGACCAGCTCTGCTACCAATTGTTGGGCGAGAATATGAAATATGCAATGGTCTAGAGGGGGTGAATAGACCTCCCAGTTAAAACCTTAGTAGAAAATAGTTTTAAAAAACCTTTTATCAAAGCTTGAAAAACAAAATGATTTGCACAGCGGAAGAAAATTTTTATGTATAAAGAGATTGTACTTATAGATTGGAATTTTTACACAATGTCTTAATCACTAAACAATACAACAATGATCAAATCGAAGAGTCAACCAAAACTAACAAGCCAATGCAATGTATTGAATTTATATAAAAAAAATACACAAGATAAGTATTTGTACAATATCAATACGATGTGGATTCTATAATAACAGTTTTTCAGTTTAATCACTAACTAGAGAAATTCAAAGTTCTAAGTTTAACCTACACTTTACAAATAAATTGCTACCTAGGAAAACCCAATGGCATGCAATTATATGAAAGCAACAAAAACAATCCAACATGCAATTTCTATGAAATTAAAAGGAGAGAGAGAGAGAGAAAGAGAGAGAGAGAGAGAGAGAGAGAGAGAGAGAGAGAGAGAGAGAGAGAGAGAGAAATGTACACATGGATTTATAATTGTTCAGCTATCATCCTTGCTAAGCTTAATCCACTCTACGATGGTTGCCCATTAAAATTTTGGTCTTCCAATATTATTTGTGACAAATTACACGAGTTTTAGCATAATCACAATACCCCGAATAACGCTAAAAATATAAAAATATTCTATTTGAATCCCTTGATTCATACATTATATTAAAATTCAATTCTTTGGGAAATCTTTATGCGAAGTCTCCTTGAATCTTCCCGCCTCAATAGCCCTACTCCCAAGTCTATGTTCTACATTGATCTTTACTCAATCCTACCAGTATCTTAAGCATTGGGTTGTATGAATACTGAAAAGAACTCCCAGCTTCTCCATAGGCTTTCAGACAACACTACCAAGATGAACATAGAGAGAAGAACCTTCCTCTTATCCATTGGAATTGTCAAAACCTGTCATAACACCTCACACACTGCGAACCTCTGAAATCTTAAAAAAATCTTCAACGAAACATTAAATCCAAAAAAAATCTCCCCAACAATAAAAAATCTCCAAAGAATGAATATAGGCGAATTTTAAGTTTACCATATTGTAAACAAAATTGTAAAATTAGCCTTGTCACGTGAAGATTTTATTGTTTTAGACACTGTAAAATTACTTTTTGTAAAACTAACACTGTCATACGAAGATTTTATTGTTTTAGACTTTATGGTTGTAAAACTAACCTTGCCATATAAAAAAGTTTAGTTGGCGTGCTTATTGGATTTTTTTAAGGCAGTTGTTGTGACATGAATTTTTTTTTTTATAATTATTTTAAAATCCATGTCATATATTATTTTAATTTTCACTTATTTTAATATTATTAAATTATTAAGGGTGCAAAAATTTTAAAAATAACAAACGGAAATCATTGCAAAATAAAGACACAGCCTTCACCACTAGGCCACTAACACTTTTATTAAATGTTTGACGAATCAAATATACATTAACATATTACAGAATTTTAAAAACAATATATATATATATATATATATATATATATATATATATATATATATATATATATATATATATATATATATATATATATATATATATATATATATATATATATATATATATATATATATATATATATATATATATATATATATATATATATATATATATATATATATATATATATATATATATATATATATATATGTATGAGGTCCCTATAAATATGAAAACTTTCATTCTTATCGTTCTTCTTTTTCTTCTTATTCCCTTAGCCATCTCAGAAAAGTGTCATCTTCATCTAGGTTAAGCCAAAGAGTTTCTTACTATTCGATGAGTGTGACAAATTGTGGAGGGAAAAGGTGTGGATGCAATGGTGTTATTATTTCATACATGTGCAAGAATGGAAATAACAAAGGTCGACTGTTTTGGAGGTGTCTGTATTGGAAACACGAGGGAACCTGCAATTTATTTATTTGGGATGATGAAATTGCAAAAGTCAAGGATGACGAGGAATGCGTAGATTCATAATGGAAGAAGGACGATAGTAATGTGATGGAAATGCAAGCTTTAGAAACTTTGAAGGAGCTTTACAAATCATCCATGAAGAAGAACCAGAGGTTGAAGATGAAGATCAAGGAAGAGGCATTTTGGGGGAAGCTGAAGACATCATGTGTTGCAGTTTCAGTCTTGTTCAATTTGTATTTTTTAATTAGGTGTAATCATCTGTAATGTTTGTGTAACTGTTAATCTTGTATGATATGTTGTTAAATGTAACATGAATTGGTTTTGTTTGAAATAAAAATTGGTATGTTCTATTTGTAATTCATTCAGTAATTCATTTAATATTGTTCAATGGGTATGTTGAATATGTAGTTTCGGTCGTAGAACATAGTTTTGACACAACCTGACCTATAAAATGGGCATAATATGAGTGTATAAAATTGAGTGTATAAAATTAGACACAGTTTCAGCTAATTAGTATTTGTCATTGATGATGTCTTCTTCAGTTAGATCCAAAGGGTCATTGGGTTTCTTCCCAGGGCCAAGAATGTTGTTTGTTTTCAAGGTCCTCAAATTTTCATTATGCCTTTTTTCTGCTGCAACATTTGTCTGTGTCTTGTACCTGCTATGGGTCTTAAACTTAGGTGGTTCAATTGAAATTGCCCTTGAAAGATTATAATACCAGGTGGTTTGAAAGGCTTATTCTTGCATACTTTGGGTTTCCTACCAAAGAAAACATTGACATTACTTTGCTTTGGTGCAGTTTCCTTGAGAGGTGATTTGTCAACCCTTAAAGGTTATATATCCAAGACCCCATCACCTCCTAATAATGTAGCCAGAGTTTCATTCAATGAAGCACATGTAGCATTGTTAGTTAGCTCACATGGTTCAGTTACCATTTCATCAGTTGGATCAGTTGGATCAATTTCCATATCATCAGTTGGATCAATATTAGCCTTTCCCTCATTAGCCTTACTTGACCTTCCTTCATTGACAGAATCCATTCCTTCATTGGCACATGCCTTTCTCTCTTTGATACATGACTTTCCCTCATTGACACATGACTGCCCCTTATTGACACCTGACTTTTCCTCATTGGCAGTTGACTCTCCCTTCTTGGCACCTGACTTTTCCTCCTTGGCACTTGATTTTCCCTCCTTGACAGTTGACATTGTCTCTTTGGTATTTGAATTTTCCTGTTTGATAGATGACTTTGCCTCCTTGGCACATGATTTCCCCTCTTTGACAATTGACTTTTCCACATTGACAATTGACTTTTTGACACTTGATTTCCCATCCATGACAACAACTTCCTCAATTACAACTTGTTCCACATTAACACATGCATCTCTGACTATTCCCTCCTTCACCTTTGTCTTCTTTGTTCCTTCCTTAGATGTAAAATTGGTGGTTGATCCCTTAGGCCTCCCTTGCACAAAATAAACAAATAATTCACATTGATACCATTGCACAAAATACATAGATAAACAATCATTAAATGTTAGATTTAAGTTAAACAATACCTTTTTATTTGTGCCAAATTGACCTTGCTAGTCTGACTTGCTTGTGTAGGTATGTCTTGAGTGGCTTGGTTTGGCAAGTCTTAAGTGGCTTGGGTGGGCAAGTCTTGAGTGGCCTGGGTGGTATTACCAGAGGGAACAACCATAATCTGATTGTTCTTCTTGCAGGTCCTTTTGTTGTGACCTAGTTCAAAACTAGCCTTTCACCTATGGCTTGTATTGGTTATTTGCCACTTTGTATGGTTCACTTCATCTATCTCTCTCCTTTTAAGTTTCTTGGGTCTACCTGGGCCACGTTTGAACATAAGGATAAGCATGGTTTCATCTGATGTTTTTGGCAATTTGTTTTGGCCATTCAAAGGGGTGATAACTTCATTATTACATTTTTCATAAGTGCTTTTGTGATAACACTTATGCACATATTTCACAAGGTCCTCCATTTTCTTATGTAGGATAGCCACACCATGTCTACAAGGAATCCCAACAAGATCCCAAAATTTGCATGAACATGATTGTTTCGCTAAATCCACTACAAAACTATCAGTGAACAAAACATGTGAGACTTGAAAGGTTAACCTACCAGTATAGGTTGTTGTTCAACTAGCAATTTTTTCAATCTCTCTATCTAGCCCCCTTAAGGGTTTTGTCATTATTTGCCCTTTATAACTTTCTACCTTTCTCTAAGTGTGGCAAACCTCCCCATTAGGTAATTCCTAATACATTCAAACATTATAATGATTGGTTTATCTCTTTGTAACATAATGGTTGCATTGAAAGACTCACTTAAATTGTTCATCAAGACATCACACTTTGATCATGAGCCTCTAACCACTCATAAGCCTCCAAGCTGATCTCCTTGATCATGAGCATCCTAGCCTCATGTGCCTCAAAATAAGTTCCTTTTGATGCATCCATCATAAGGTCTCTAAACAAGGTTCCTCCTTCAAACCATTTTTGAAGTTAGCATACAAGTGCCTTAAACAGAACCTGTGTCAATATGCAGGATACTCCTATTCAAAAACCTGAAAAAGACCCTAAACCAAGAAAAAATTATTTTCATTAGTACATTCAATTGATTGAAAATTATCATATGGAAAATATTGATGAAAGTACAACTTACTTTTTGTTGGTCAGAGATGAAACACCACCTGCCATCTCCTATGTCTTCAATAAGCAATTTTAGAAACAAACTCCATAAATCCTTTGATTTTGTCTCAACAACAGCAATAGCAATTGGAAAATACTGATCATTTGGGTCTCTCCCAACTGCAATGAGTAAAATCCCACCATACTTGTGTTTCAAATGGCACCCATCTAGACCAATGAATGGTCTGCATGCCTTTTTTAAGGCATTCTTGGTCCCATTAAAACACATATAGCACCTCTCAAATCTTGGTTTTAAGCCAGGACTAGGAACATTGGTGTTGATCTTGAAAGTGTTCCCAATTGAAGCCATTCTTAACTCAGCAGCATAAGACCATAAAAGACTAAATTTCTTGCTAGAATCTTCTTCAACAATGTGTCTTGTAATCTGCCTTGCCTTGAATGCTCTGCAGCCTGGAATTTCTGTTGCATACCTTTGTCTGACATCTGCTACTACCTCACTTAACCTCATCCTAGAGTTATTCTTCAATCCATCAACAATTACCTTGCCCACCCACTCCGCTTTGGCACTTTTGTTGAAGAAGCGTCTTCCACATTTGTGATTTACAAACAAAGTCTTAATCCTAAATGTGGTGGATGTTAAAACTCTACTACACAGCGCTGTATAATCACATTTTTTCTTATCCTTACAAACTACCCTGCATCTGTTAGCATCATTTTTTTCAAACTTAACATATCTACCATTCAAAACATTATGCTCCAAGGTGGCATTATTGAGCTGCCTCAAAGAAGAAAACTCAATTCCCACCTTGAAAACAAAATTCTTACTTAAAGATTCTTCTTGATTAAACCTGATTACACATGGTCTTTCATCACAACTGTCATCATCACCACAACTATCTAACTCATCAGTCATGTAGGCATCCTCAATGACATGTTCCTTACCCATCTCTTCAATTATAAACATCTTTTTGTCTAGATGAGCAATACCCTCTTCATTTGCAGCAACTTCATTTTTTGTTCTACTTTAGCTGCATTATCAAACACTTCATCAAGGCCTTCAACAAACCCTTTCATCCTCTCCTCCTCACTATCATCAAAGTGAACTATTCTAACAAATTCATCACTAGAATCATCATTGTCTTCAACCAACCTGTTAACATCTTCATCACATTTGGTTCCCTTTCCCCTTTCTCTAAACCTATCCATAAAGGTATCCTCTCCTACAAATTTAGGCTCACAAAATATCTCAATATCAGACTTATTTCCTATAACATACATGGCTAACTCAGAGGCATCACCATCATCCTTAAAAGGTTTTAAGTCGTGTTCAAATGATCCTTCTTCATGTTTCCACCACATCTTAACACTAACTATATCAAACTCAGGTTCAATCAACTTAATTAGGTCACGTGCTTCAAAAAAAGACCAATAATCAGGGTCTTGACCATTAAAAGCATAAACATCCCCTCCCTCATATCGTATCTTAGGGTCTTTTACGAAACGACCCTTTGAGTAAAAAACAACCATAAAACTATCCATTTCCTGTACACAACATTTAACTTAGGTTTAAATTTTACCATTTTAATGTAAAAATAATTAACCCTAATTTTTTCTACGATAGGCGAATAAAAACTTAATATACAATTGAATAACAAATTGAATAAGGAAAGAGACCACTGAGAAAGGAAAGCATATGATATTAAAATGAAGGAACATAAAGGAAACAATTGTATCTTACCTGGGACCACTTGTTCGCCTTCTCAGTATCTTATTTTTGGGACCACTTCAAAGATGTCGCTTTCAGACCACAACAAACAAACAAATTCCTTCTATAAATTGCGCAAATGAATGTTCGTTCTTCCCATACTTGTGCGAATCAATACTCCTTCTTCATTGACTGTTGCACACCTTCTGCTAGGGCAAGATGACCTCCTTTGACTTATCTAACGTTTACAACATTTCCTTATCTGCATTTTCACGCTGGCGAATTGAAATAACACAGATCACACGTAATCAAAGTTGCAATTACATGTGGCATGACACTTAAGCTTTCGTTAGTGAAAACTAATGGGAGGGACCATTTTGTGAGACGGAAAACTTTATGAGGACCAAAGTTCAAAGATAATTTGTGTAGGGATTAAACTTGAAAGGTACCATATTTATAAGGACTAAAAAGATGTTTAATCATATATATATATATATATATATATATATATATATATATATATATATATATATATATATATATATATATATATATATATATATATATATATATATATATATATATATATATATATATATATATATATATATATATATATATATATATATTGTTCCGGTGTGGGCCTCACCTCGGCAGGCCCAATACCAAATACGGCCCAACAGGCGAACTGAGCACACCTGGCACACGCCCCTTCGGACGAGCAGGACCGTCCGCCGGGCACAAGCCATCACGCCGCATCCCCTTCGTCGTCCGTCACACCAGACGAGCGAGACTACCCGGGCTCCCTCCGCGGGAGAATAACGTGCTCGGCGCACGTTCTCCACGTGCTCCCCTCCGCGGGGACACGTCATCGGCCAACCGCCCACCTCCGAAAGAGCAGGTCAAACCCACTTTCCGGAGACCTAGGAGCGGTTGAACTAGGGCGAAGACCACGTCCTGGTCTTCACTACGCCACGTAAGCCCTAGCAGTCATTAGGGTTGGGCCTGGTCGTCTGGCCCACCTCGAATGACCGTTGGCCCAGCGCTGGGGTCTCTCTATAAATACCCTCTTCTTCAAGAGGGTCAGGTAACTCTTCTTGCCCCCTTTTCTGTACTATTGCTTCCTCTCTGTCCAACTTCTTACTTGGGCGTCGGAGTGCTTTGCAGGTACACCCCCTCCTCGTTCTTACCTCGGCGGACAGATAACCGTCCGGCGAAGCGTGGCCAGTCCGTGATCCCTCCTGATCAGGTCAGATCAGTGGCGCCGTCTGTGGGAAAGCTAGCGTGAGGGAGACTTCGATGACCGTACCCTCGTCGTTGTCGAGGACGATGCCGGCGCCGCTCCCCGTAGAGTTGGAGGAGCCGTCCACAAAGATGGTCCAGAGGTGGTTCCTGGTGGTCGGGTCGGGGGGCGTGGTCATCTCGGCTACGAAGTCAGCCAACGCTTGAGCCTTGATGGCGTGCCGGCTCTCGTATGTGATGTCGAACTCGGAGAGCTCTAGCGACCATTTCAGCATGCGCCCAGCCATGTCTGGGCGGCCGAGTAGCTGGCGGAGGGGTTGGTCGGTGCGGAGCACGATGGTGTGTGCTAGAAAATAATGCCGGAGTCGGCGTGCCGCTGTTACGAGGGCCAGGGCGACTTTCTCGATCAGCTGGTATCGGGCCTCCGGGCCGTGGAGGGCTTTACTAGTAAAATAAATGGGCTTTTGTCCTTCCCCGGCTTCGCTCACGAGGACGGCGCTGACGGCTTCGTTAGAGACGGCCAGATATAAGTACAGGGTTTCGCCCGTCGCGGGGCGCGTCAGTACTGGTGGTTCGGAGAGGACGCGTTTGAGGTGGCGAAGGGCTCTCTCACATTCGTCCGTCCATTCGAACTTGGTCTCCTTCCTGAGCAGTTTGAAGAACGGGAGGGCGTGTTGGGCCGATCTCGCGATGAATCGTGAGAGGGAGGCTAGTACGCCGTTGAGGGACTGGATGGCACGCTTCGTGGTCGGCGTGGTTATATTGGAGAAGGCGTGGCACTTGTCCGGGTTGGCTTCGATCCCCCGTTCGGTCAAGTAGTAGCCGAGGAATTTACCGGCGCAGACGCCGAAAGTGCATTTCTCCGGGTTAAAGCGCATGCGACATGATCTCGCGGTCTTGAAGACCTTCTGGAGATGTGCCGCATGGTCGTCTTCCGCGCCGGATTTGACGATCATGTCGTCCATATAGACTTCGAGCATGTCCCCGATCTCCTCGTGGAAGACGCGGTTCATCATCCGTTGGTACGTGGCCCCGGCGTTTTTGAGGCCGAAAGGCATTACGTTGTAATAGTAATTGCCCGATGCTGTCATGAAGGCCGTGGCCTGTTTGTCGTGTTCGGCCATCGGGATCTGATTGTATCCCGAGTATGCGTCCATGAAGGACAAGAGTTTGAAGCCCGCCGAGTTGTCGACGAGCTTGTCGATGTTGGGGAGGGGGTAGGCGTCCTTAGGACATGCCCGGTTGAGGTCAGTGTAGTCAACACACATGCGCCATTTTCCATTATTCTTTTTAACAAGTACAACGTTGGACAGCCAGGTGGAATACCGGGCTTCCGAAATAAAATTTGCCTCTAAGAGGTCTTTTACAGCTTGTTCGGCTGCTGCCGATTTTTCTGGAGACTGGCGGCGACGGCGTTGCACCACGGCCTTTGCGGTCGGGCTGATGGACAGCTGGTGGCAGGCGACCTCAGGGTCGAGTCCCGGCATTTCCGCGGCGCTCCAGGCGAAGAGGTCAGCATTCTCGCGGAGGCAGGCTTGGAGCTGTCGTTTCGCGAGGTCGGGGAGTCCTGCGCCTACCCTTACGGTTCTGGTCGTGTCGTCCCCGAGGGGAATGAGCTCGAAATCGCCATCCGGGATGGGGCGCGCTGGATGCTCGTTGGCCGCGTCAGTCTTTTTATTGTCGAGCTCGTCGGTGAAGCGACTGTCGAGCTCAACTGATCCGACCAGCTCTGTTGGCTTGTCCTTTGGCGTAGCGCTCGGTGCTTTCCTTTTGGTCGGTGGAGCGATGGAGTCGAAGCCTTTCAGCGCGGCTTCAAAACACCTTCGGGCAGCTTCGATGTCGCCGTTGAGGGTGACCACGGCTCCCCTTCTCGTGTAATATTTCATCTTCAGGTGGGCGGTGGAGGGTACCGCGGTGAGTTCTGCTATCGTTGTCCTGCCCAGGATGCAGTTATACAGGGACGGGCATTCGATGACTAAGAAGCGGATGCTGATGTCTCTGGCCGTTTCCTCTTCCCCAAAGGTGACTTTCAGTTCCACGTATCCCCAGGGTCTTGTCGTCGTCCCGTTGAACCCCTGGAGGTCGGAGCCTACGTAGGGGGAGAGGTTGGACTCGTTGAGCTGGAGAGTTGTGAACAAATGTGAGTACATTATGTCAACCGAGCTCCCTCCGTCGACGAGGAGGCGCCTGACGTCGAAGTTTGCCATACGTGCGCGTATGAGCAAGGGTATGTTGGAATTGGGAGATCCCCCGGGTAGTTCCTCGAGGTAGAACGTGATCGGGTTGGAGCGGCCTCGGAATCTGTCGAGCGTGCTCATCTTGCCGGAGTTGCCCGCGATGAGTTCGTCGAATTTCCTTTTCACAGATCCTATGGACAGACTCCTCGTAGCGCCATCAGAGATGACCATGGCTCTGGGGAAGTATTCCCATCGGCTGGTTGGTCGGATTGGCTCGCCGACTAAGCTGGGTGCTTCGGGGATGCCGAGTCCTCTGCTTGCGAACCAGTCCTCGGGGCGGCTGACGCACAGCGCGACCTGGAGTCTCTCACCGTCTTCTGGGCAGGGGAGCTCCTCGATTTTCTTTGCCTCCGGGGCCTCCGATCTGGGTGGTTCAACTCCCCGGGTGTATCGCTTTAAGTGCCCATCTTTGATTAGGATTTCGATCGCATCTTTGAGATGGATGCAGTCTTCCGTTACATGCCCGTGGGTCCTGTGGAACCGGCAGTACTTTGACTTGTCCACGTTGGGTTTGGGCGGCGTTGGTCGTGGAAAACGGACACCTCCCTGCACAAACTCGGTTTTAGCGCATTCGGCCAGTATGCGTTCGCGCGAAGCGACCAAGGCGGTGTACTCGGTGAACCTTCCTGCCGGGCCGCGTGACTCGCGCTGTTCTCGGGGTTCGCGGTGGCGGTCATCTCGACGGCGGTCCCCTCCTCGTCGGTGGCTCGAAGTTCCGTCGTCTCGGTGCCCGCGGGGGGCTTCTCTGTCTCGGGTGTCGCGAGCGGAGTTGGCCGCTTGTGTTTCCTCGAACCGGATGTAATGGGCGGCCCTGTCGAGGAAGTCTTGGAGGGACGTGGGCCGGTGTATGCCTACGGCCTCGTAGAATTTGGAGTCGTGGCGCAGGCCTTGCTCCATTAGGTAGCGTTTCATTTCGTCGGAAGTCGTCACCTGTACGGCTTCCCGAGTAAATCTTTCGATGTATTTCCGGAGGGGTTCGTCGGGGCCTTGGATGATCGCCCCGAGGACTGCTTCCGTCTTCGGGTGACGCCGGGACGCCGTGAAGTGTTTGGAGAATAGGTCCTTCAAGACCCTCCACGATGTAACTGATTCGGGCTCCAGGCTTTTGTACCAGGTCATAGCGCCTTTCCTCAGAGTCGTCGGGAAGAGTCTGCATTTGATAGCTCCCCGGACATTGCGGTAGTCGAGCATGGCCTCGATGTCTTCCAGATGATCGTCCGGGTCGGAGGTGCCGTCGTACGTTGACAGCGTCGGTGGCTTCTCCATTCCTTGGGGTATGGGGGCCGCCATGATCTCCCGGGATAGTGGGGTGCGGTAGTCATCCTCGTCGCTGTGCACTGGGGATCTCAGGGGAG